GCACCATTGCTGCTCCTTTAACTGAAGTTGTTAAGAAAGATAAGGGTTTTTCATGGGGAAAAGAACAAGATGATGCTTTTAACTTGTTGAAAGAAAAATTGTGTTCTGCTCCTCTTTTGCAATTACCCGATTTTTCTAAATCTTTTGAGGTTGAATGTGATGCCTCTAGAAAAGGAATAGGTGCTGTTTTGATGCAGGACTTAAAGCCCATTGCATACTTTAGTGGAAAGTTGAGTGGAGCTACACTGAACTACTCAACTTATGACAAGAGCTATATGCTTGGTAAGGGCTTTAGCTACATGGCAACATTATTTGTGGCCAAGAGAGTTTGTGGTTAAGACTGATCATGAATCCTTGAGATATTTGAAAAGCCAAGGTAAGCTTAATCGTCGCCATGCAAAATGGGTTGAATTCATTGAAACTTTCACATATGTGATTGCTTACAAGCAAGGAAAAGAGAATGTGGTTGCTGATGCACTTTCAAGAAGGTATGTCTTGGTTTCTTCTCTTACTTCTAAATTGATGGGTTTTTGATCAAATCAACGAACTTTATTCTAATAATTCTGATTTTGGCAAGGCTTTTGCAGAATGTAAGTTGGATCCTTATGAGGGGTTCATTCTTCAAGATGGGTTCCTTTTTAAGGAAAATAAATTGTGTATTCCTAATTGCTCTTTGCGTGAATTGTTTGTTAGGGAAGCACATTGTGGTGGACTCATAGGACACTTTGGAGTGCCCAAAACTTTGGATATACTTGCTGAACATTTTTTTTTTTTGGCCAGGAATGCGAAAGGATGTTGAAAAAGCGTGCTCTCAATGTCTTGAATGTAACAAGCCAAATCAAAAGTGTTACCACATGGTCTTTATACTCATTTACCTGTCCCTACTTCTCCTTGGATTTATATTTCTATGGATTTGTGTTACGACTTCCTAGAACTAAGTATGGTAAGGATAGTATATTTGTGGTGGTAGAAAGATTTTCAAAAGTGGCTCGTTTTATTCCATGCTTGAAGACTAATGATCCATTACATGTGGCTGATTTATTTGTGAAGGAAGTGGTTAAATTACATGGCATACCTAAAACTATCGTTAGTGATGGGGACGCAAATTTATTAAGCCACTTTTGGAGAGTTCTTTGGGCGAAGTTAGGACCTAAATTGCTATTTTCTACATCTTGTCACCCACAAACTGATGGGCAAACTAAAGTAGTTAATAGGACCTTAGGGGATATGTTGAGAGATGTTTTAAAAGGAAAATTAACTTCTTGGGAAGAACATTTGCCCATGGTAGAGTTTGCCTATAATAGAACTATCCACTCTTCCACTGGTAAGTCTCCTTTTGAAGTTGTTTATGGATTTAATCCGCTCACTCCCCTTGATTTGTTGCCTTTGCCTACTAATGACATTGTTAATCTTAATGGTAGGAATAAGGCTGAAATGATGAAGAAGATTCATAAACATACAAGGCTTGCAATTGAACGGAAGAATGAACAAACTGCCTTAAGAAGAAATATGGGGCGAAAATATGTTATTTTTAAGCTTGGAGATTTAGTTTTGGTGCATTTTAGGAAGGAAAGATTTCCTTCCAAACGAAGATCCAAATTAGATCCAAAAGGAGATGGGCCATTTGAAGTCCTTGAAAGGATTGGAGACAATGCTTACAAACTTGACATTCCTAGTGAATATCAAGTTAGTGCTACCTTCAATGTTTCTAATCTTTCCTTGTTTGATGCAGGCTCGAATTCGAGGATGAATTCTCCTCAAGAAGAGGGGAATGATAGCATCCATGACAGCTCAACATCATTAAGGAGAAGGATGAAGCTTTGGAAGCTCCAAGAAGGCCCATGACAAGGTCCCAAAACAAAGAAATTTCAAGACAAGCTTAATGGGCTTCAATTGGCAATTAAAAAGTTTCTTATAATAGAAGAAGGGCTCCAGCACAAGGAGGATCTTTGGGCCAAGTCGTGCAACTATTTGGAGGCCAATTTAAAGTCCAAGAGGAGACGGAATGAGGCCCAAATATGCCCCAAAAGGGAGCAATTTTCAGTAGCCCAAATAAGCCCAAAATAGTTTCTAGAATATATTTAATAGTTGTTTTAATCTACGTTGACTTGCATTGGTCTATGTGTATGTTGACTACATTGGTCTTAGTGTGGGTAGTCTTCTATGCTTCTAGGGAATATAATTCTCATTTATTGAAGTATTGACTAGCTCCTTCTTTACTACAATATAAAGGGGTGCTTGTCTTCCATTGTAGAACAACATTGAAGATTAATATTATTGTTGTGAGTTCTTTTGAACCTTTGTGAATTATACTTTGAGATTTATCTTGCAACACTAACTAGTTCATAGCTTAAGATAGTAAGATAATTTTCTTTCTTATGATATCTTTGGTTTCTTTTGATATTCTTCGAAGGCTAGCTAGTTTCTTTCACTAGTTGTTGTTGTAAGTTATTCAAACTAGAAGTCAAGATCCGAATTTAGTTCTTGATTAGCTTATCTCTAGTAAAGGCAATTGGTTCCAAACCAACTTGTTGTCATTAGGATCTTGCCAAATCTAGATTAACATAATCTCGGGGTTCTTGGACCTTTCCTTGAACTTCCACATATCTAGTTTATTTTTCTTGCTTTTCTTAATTCGATTGCATTTCTTTATTGCTTCCGCATTCCTTAAACTTATTTTCTTTACGTTCTTGGATCTCCCAACCTTTGTGTTATCATATGGACACAAAGGGGACTGGTGGAGGAATGGAGAGGTCCAAGGACAAGTGGAAGCCAAAAAAGTGGCGTATTTGAAACTAGTTGAGAGCATAAACGAAGTTGAGAAGAGGACGAATAGCAGGTGGTATTAAGAAGGCAAAGAAGGAGGCAGGGGTAGCAGTCACAGTAGCTACGACTGCAGCTTTTGGACGTTTGTATGAAGAACTTGGGGAAAAAGGCGGGGACAAGAAGTTGTAGAGGCTACCCAAGGTGAGAGAAAAAAAGGCTCGTGACCTGGACCAAGTGAAGTGCATCAAAGATGAAGAAGGCAGAGTATTGGTAGAAGAGACATATACTAAACGAAGGTGGCATACATACTCCCATAAACTCTTGAATGAAGAGGGGGACAGGAGCATTGTGCAGGGTGGTTTGGAGCACTCCGAGAGTCATCGAGATTTGGGTCTTGTAGCGGTATAAAGGTTGAGGAGGTCGAGTGGGCTATATGTAAGATGAGCAGGGAGCGAGTGGGCCAAACGAAATTCCAATGGAATTTTGGAAGAATGCGAGCAGGGCGGTCTTGGAGTGGTTTATTAGTTTGTTTAATGTTATTTTTAGGACGAAGAAGATGCCCGAAGGATGAAGGTGGAGTACGATAACTCTGTTATACAAGAAGAAGGGTGAGACTAGTACAGATGCTTAACGAAAAGAAAACTGGCAACAAAATTTTGAACAGCAAAAAGAGAAAAAGAGAGAAACAGCAAAGAGGCATTACAACTGGAAATTGTGTGACAGAGTCGATGTAAAGTATGAAACAATAGAAAACAATTTCAATCGCAATGTTGATTATAAATATCAGTTTGTCTTGTTCAGATGGACGGAAAAAAGAAATTAATGAAGCGAAGGGAATGGAAGACGGAGAAGGACGGGAAAAAGAAATTAATGAAGCGAGGGGAATGGAAGACAGAGAAGGGTGCAAAGAAGTTGACAACAACTTTTCCTTGCTTTTCATTCTTAGATTTCTTAAGTTCTTATTTTGTCATTACTCCCCAACCCAAAAGGAAAAAGTGCACGAAGCATTCATTCTCTAGGAAAGATTTGTCAGTGAAGTCCAATAAACAGAATACTGTAACCAATCACAATGAATCATGTGAACTTTTGGAAAACCTACAAATTGTGATGGTTAATTCGTGTTTTGCAGCTAACAAAAATCTTAACATCCGAATTAGATAACAATAAAAAAGATATACAAAGAACATCCAATAATGACCAACATCTATTGCACCCACATGGAAGCTCGGAGCAAAGATACTACGAACTAATAAAAGCCAATTAACCAAATACTTTTCCAAAACTGGAAATGTTCAGCAGCTTGCAGCTATAAAGAACAAACAATGTCAAGAGCTGATTCTTTCATGAGCCATGTGTCTCTCTTTACAAATTAGTCAGCTCCAACTCATGTAAAAAAATTGGTGACATGCCATTATTAATATGCATGTTAGATGCTAGATATAGCCATCATCTCTAAAGCTGACAGTAGGAGTAAGAAGGACTATCTTGAAAGCTACTGGGTAATCACTAAATTAGACAGTACAAAAGATTTTGACTTCATGTTGACTACATCATACTTCACATGTCCATAGATTGAAAAGCCAGCAGACTATAAAATTTGCAATCAAATAAACATGCTTGCTAGGGAAAACAACAGCATACTTACATATCTAGATATCTAGCACAACTTCATGATGCAAAAGAACAGCAAACCTACATTCAGTATTGAGGGTTCTGGTATTGGACATTGAATTGGTCGATCATTGTGTAGAGGCTCAGTTGGGTGTTCAACTGGTTTGAACTCAACTGCAATTTCAATACCATGAGGTGTGATAGAGGGAGCTCCAGCTATTGTAGCAGCACCGGTTGTTTCTGTATTTTGGAGGTCAACGACTTTCTGTTTTCATCCTGTCATTTTCCATATTGAAAAAGAAATTAACTACA